AATTTGATCTCTGTGTCAATCTTGATGTATTCTATGGCATTCACATGGTATTCTGAAATGTAGCTAGTACCTGGTCACCCTCCCTTTTGCAAGGTGATAATGGCAATAACTGCACATGATTGTAGAAGTTCCATGTGTCATCACAGGCTTTCCATTGCCTTTACAGTATCTCGTGATGCATGTCATACGAAGAAATAACTGCAGCAACTGTGATTGACATGTATTTCTCATCATATTATGTTTATTAGTTACAGGAATAACATCTATCATTAGTAGTGTACTCTTAGTGTATGATGAGGGTGCATCAGGGGTATGTCTATGGGATGGTGTCATGCTGAGTCAGCAGACGCACGGCCTCTCACTCTGACTCTCTTGTGGTGACTGCCTGCTTTGTCTCTAAGTCATGGATATCAGCTGATTCAGAAGCAGAATTGCCAGCTAACTATCTGAGAATACCCCCCCCCCAAAAAAAAGAAAAAAAAAAAAAATTGTCAAGTATATTTGCTTGGATGCGACAAAGTAAACATCGGAGCCGGAGGCTTGGGGGGTCAGAGATTTAGTTATAACTCCTTAATTTTTATGTATTTAGCAGAAATATTACGTCATGGGATTGCCAAAGCCTACTAGATTACAGGAGATTTTTTTCAAATTTTTTAGTATTTTTAATTATTTCGTCATAAATGCAGCATGACGGCTCCCTTAAAGGGTCTTTTCTTAGGATACTGAGTGAAACAGATACAAAAACGAGAGACCATTAATAAAATAATAGCACTACATTGTCAGTATTAATGGTTCTCCAGTAACGATGGACTGCATATGATGTGCACTCCATTTATAATAGAGTAACACTGATTAATAGGTTTTCTTGCAATATAATGTTATGTTGATTGGGCCCTCTGATGAATGTCATCTTGATGTGCTCATTGCAGATTTCAGGAATAACTATGAATATGTGTTTGTTATGATATAAACAAGGTTACAATTAATGGGATTATAGATGTTTAAAAAATGAACTATAAGACTAAGAAAATAACGTAGATATTAGTAATATATTTTTTTGCGATGTCAACATGACGAGGGACTTAGAAAAAGATAGGTCAATCTTCTCTCTTCTCTGTCATGTATCTCCTTTATTTTTGATTTATGCACCTTTTACTATAGATGAAAAGTGTCTCGGTTTACTTCAAGGTAATCATTCCATTGACTCTTTTTTACTGTAACCCTGATTGTCATCCACCCTAGATTTTCCTTGGATGTTAGTGGTAATTGAAGTAGCATCATGCTGAGCAATAACTTAAACCATCATGCTTATTAGTACTAGCAAAAACCTACACATCAGTGTTTTATATTCTAGCAAGATAAAGCTTCTAGACTGCCCTGGCAATTTATCATTGAATTGTAAAGTTCCACATCATATAATCTGGTAGATAGTGCTTGGACTGGTCCCAACTTTGATAAAAGAATGCAAGGCCTGTCATTCTTTCTTTCATCTTCTTTTTTTTTTTCGTTTTTTTTCCTTCTTTTTTTTGCTATTAAGCCTTTATTGCCTGTTGGCATCTAATCTTGCCATAATGAACTGAGGCTGAATGCTGGTTGGCAAGGATATGCACCATGTAAGTCAGCCAGCTCCAAGTTGTGCACCGTAAAGATGTGTTCTCTTGCTTGGCTCTGGGCATGGCAGTTCATGAGCTGAAGCCCTTCAGATGTGGGGCTAAAGGCTAGTTTTTGTCTATTATGCTGGAGAATTGTGTATACTGCAGCTAAGTGTGCACAGAATGAGGTCAGTTTGTGCCCTCCAAGCTTGAGATTTTTCACTTGTCTGGCTGACCCCAGGGGATCCCTGACATGTTATAAGAGAATGAAATGCATGGGAACAAATGGTTGATGTATAGGTATGGTGTGTGAACTAGTGGTGGATGTGCAAGTGTTATATAATCTGGTTAAGTTTTTCTTCATTTTGTTTATACTGCAGTTTTCCTGGTATGTCTGTGTCTTCCCAACTGTTAGGCCTAAAATACTTTCTGGACAGTAGACATGATAAGCAGACCAGCAATAGTAGTATTAGTGGCATGCAGCTTTTCTGTAGAATTACCCTGGACTGTGTTGAGATCGGGAAAACTAATGTAATGGCAATAAAAAGAATAGAAATCAACACTTTGTGACCCATTTTAAAGTGTGGGACCAGTCCAACCTTTATCATCCTAGAATATACTTGTTGGAGGTTTGCTGGCCTTTTCTTGAGGTGTGAAGTGCTTGATGCAGTCCCATTGTCTGTTACCTATATCATTCCTATCCACTTCATATATTAGATTCCAGAGGACTTCAGAATTTTTGTTGGTTTGCCTCTCATATCCCTCCCTAGCTCGTTGTGGTTGTGGGTGGGCTTAGGAGACGAGGACTGAGACCCGAGGTAGGGGATTACCCCTACCTTGGGCCTCCACCCTCACCTCAACTAATTTTCCTTGGTCCTTTCTTCTCTTTTTTCCTCTTCTCTGTCTTCTTTATTCCCTTCTTTTATCCCATTACTAAGGTGTGAGAGCCATGCTGAGAGGATGAAAGGCTGACTTTGTGTCAGTCACAAACAGCCTCCGGGAGCTATGGGCACTGTATTTCCTTTGTTAATTGCCTAGCCCTCACCCCTTATGGGGACTCTGAGGGGTAGACCCCAGTTATTCAGGATCACCATGGCCAATAATAAGAATTCTTTACCCTTAAGGGGAGTTTCATCAAAATCGTCAAGAAAAAAAAAAAAAAAAAAAAAAAAAAAAAAAAAAAAATCGTTTTTTCAATTCATCTTGTCGATTTTGATGAAACTCACACCCTATTATTTAGAACCTAGACTGATCCCTGTGGTAGGGCCACATAGCCAATTTTCACACTCAGAGTCTCATTAAAACATGATAAAGAAGTACAGGGCAGTGTAAAAATATGTATATAAGATATGTAAGGATATATGGATCATTTTTGTGTATCCAATGACCTTTTGTTTATATTGCTACTTCTGTTTGTGTTTGTTGATTGTTTGTTGTTTTCTGATATTTCTAATTTTAATGAGTTTTTTACTAATTGTGTGTTTTAACCTAATTTAGATGCTGATTGCACTTTGGTGGTGATGTGTATCCAAGATTTTTTTTTTCGTAACTCAAAAAGTTATTGACAGATTTTAATATTATTTTTACATGAGGTGTGTCTTAGCCTAACTAATATTCCATAAAATTTTGGTGGTGATCTGGATCATTTGGCAATTGTCCCCCCCATTTAGGAGGGGGGGATATTTGCATTTTTGAAATATTTTGCTCATTGATCAAACTAACTATATATGATGAAAACCACCCAGAAAACAGAGGTCGGGCCTTGAAAATATCAGGGGAGAATCAGGTGCCCTGAAACTCCTTGAAAATGCATTAAACTCAATATTGGCATGATGGGCGAAAAATGCCAAAAAATGACAAGACGATCCCCTTAAGGCTTGCCCCTTCATCAAGTAGCCTATCTGAATTTGATTTTGATGGTTTCAGACCCAGCCCATCCTTTGACTGTGGCTGACCGACCACTGATACTAATACCCCCTCTTCGACACTTACAAACAACTCTAACCATTCCAAAACACCCAACCAGGTTATTACTCAACCTCTAGAAAGCAACCCTCCCTCTTTCCCAACATTCTCCTCTTCATCTCCTGCTGCACAGTCCTCTTCAATGTCTACCCCCTATTCTGAGAATACCCTCCTCTTTCAACAGTGCCTCCAGAAACAAATAGGCAGGGTTACCTTTCGCAGTCGCTCTGATTGTTCACAGGTACAGTGTCCCAAGCTCTTACACTATATACCCTAACTGATCTTACTGGCAAATCCATTCCTGCTGAACCTCACCCCTCTCTTAATACTTATACTGGAACTGTTTCTATTCCCCCAAATGCTTGTCCTTTGTATGACAAGGACTGGTCAGACTGTGAAAATGACCTACTTTCCTGCCTTGTTGAATGTGATGCAGTTGCAGTACAGTGTTACACTCTTCCTCCCAGAGGCCAGTGTAAATCCCATGTCACTATTGCCAAGGTTAGCATCTATATACAAGACCTCCCCCTTGAGGTTTATATTGGTGGATTGTCTTATCATGTCCGACAATATCGACCCCTTCCTTGTCAATGTCAGAAATGTTGGTGTTTTGGCCACCCAGCTAAACATTGTTGCTCCACAGTTTGCTGCCCTCTATGTGCCTAACCTGGTCTTGACCGTTCAAATTGCCCTGCTCGGTCACATATATGTGCCAATTGTGGAGACTGCCATAATGTATTTTATAGGAGCTGCCATGCCTATTAATTTGAATGTGAGGTAGCAGTCCTCAGATTTAAACAAGGCCTCACTCTACGTGAGGCCAGACAGGAAGCACGACGACAAGGTTTTTCTCTCTCAACTTATTTCAAAACAGTCCTTTGCTCTGCTCTCCCACCATCTTCACAAGATAATTCTGCATCTCCCCAGGTATTTCTCCCCTATACCCTAAATCTACGTCCTATGTCTACTCACCCTATCCACCAGTCAATTCCATTTTCTATTCTAAATCCAGATACTCCAATCTCTACCACTTCCCCGATACCTACCCCTCCTCCTCACATTATTTTTCCTAAATGCTCCACTCCACGCTGTCCTACTTCATTCTCTCCTACACCTTCCTCTTCTTTTGTTCCTCAGATATCTAGACATCCAAAACTTCCTAGAGATGACCCAAGGGAACACTTTGCTCCCTCATCCACCCCCCAATCCCTCTCTTCCTACTTCTTCTACATATGAAGTATTTGCAGATATCCATCCTCCTCCTCCCCAAATTCCCTCTACCCCCTTCCTCCTACACCCTCCCTACATACCCCACCCTCTTTACCCCTTCCACTTTATTCACACGAATCCCCTCTATCACAACAGTGTCCTTCTCCAGACCCCTCCCCTCCAGACATTCTTCCTGATAACAGACTTCCCCAGTCCCCCTTTCTCATCCTTTGG